ATAAAGTTGCGTAGTAGACATCGGGCCATTTCAAGGATGTCGAGATACAAATGGGCTCTCAAACGGAGCCTTCTGGCCTACCCGGACACTCTCCATTGAACATGGTCTAGTTTTGTACATCATTGAAATGAACCCAACTTTTGAAGGAAGGTGGGTATGCCCATGGAAGGAATCCATGCCAGGTTTGACGATTTCTGACATCGTATACAAGTTGCGATACGTCTGCTCATTTGTCGGACTTTTTCACAGGAAAACTCCAGAAAATGTAAGACTTATTGAAAACCCAAACAACTTGGCATGGTGCCTTGAATTGGTCATATGAGGCCATGGAAAAAAGTTAGGGCCATTTCAAGGATGTCGAGAAAAGACGTGCTCTCAGACGCAGCCTTCCGACCCTACCCGAACACCCTCCGTTTGACATGGTCTATTTTTGGACACCCTTAAAATGACCTCAACTTTTGCAATCAGGTGGATATGCCCATAGTAGGCATCCATGTCAAATTTGAACAATTTCTGACGCCATATGCAAGTTGCGACACGTCCGATTATTTATCGGCCATTTTCACCAGGAAAACTCCAGAAAATGCAAACGTTGTCAAAACCCAAACAACTTGCACGGTGCCTATAATTGGTCAGACAAGTCCATGTAAAAAAATTTGGAGCCATTTCAAAGATGTCGAGAAAGAATGTGCTCTCATGCGGAACCTTCTAACCTACCCAAACACCCTTCGTTCAGCATGTCTATTTTTTGACATCCCTGACGTGAATACAACTTTTGTGAGAAGGTGGGCATGCCCATTGTAGGCATCCATATCAGGTTTGAATGATTTCTGCCACCCTATGCAAGTTACGACACGTCCGACCATTATCGGCCTTTTTTCACCAGGAAAACTCTAAAAAATGTAAATATTGAAAAAAGCAAAAAAGCTTGGTATGGTGCCTTGAATTGGTCATATAAGGCCATGCAAAAAATTATTTGAAGCCATTTAACGGATGTCGAGAAATAGCGTGCTCTCAAACGGAGCCTTCTAGCCTACACGGGCACCCTACGTTGAACATGTTGTTTTTTGAACATTCTTGAAATGACCCCAAATTTTGCAAGCAGGTAAGCATGGCCATGGTTGATACGCATGCCAGGTCTGAAGGAAAAACGTATTTAAAATCATAATTGAAACAGAAAATGGTTTTAAAGTATTTAATAAATATTTGAAGGAAAAAGGAATTTAAAATCATAATTTAAAACACTTACTTAAAATTGTTATTTTGGCATTCCAAAAAATATTTCGAATTTTTGAACAGGTTTCTGAAACAATATTAAAGTTCAAAAAGGGAAAATGAATTGACAAAAAAGAGAAGAAAGCGAAAAAACAAAAAAAACTTAGGCCTTGGCCCAACTAGGCGATGACATCGCTACCGTCGGGTGCGCATTGGGCCGGCCAAGTGCTCACAGATTTGAAAAGGTTCACCGATTCAAAAATTGTCGCAGTTTTAGAATTTTGTTCACAAATTCATAAAATGTTCCATTTCTCAATACTTCCACAAATTCAAAAATGTTCGGGGAGTTTCAAATAATGTTCGCGCTTTCAAACTTGTTTGAGATTTGAAAAAAAAATCTTGTTTTCAAATCCATTCTATACAAATACAAACAATGTTTGGGGAAATTCAAAAAGGATTGGTTCAATTTTTCATTAATATTTTTCTAATTTTTATTCAAAATTTGTTAGTGATTTTCAAAAAATGTTTGTCATTAAAAATCACCCTTTTATAAAAAATGTTTGTGTTTTCTCATTCTTAGCAATTTTTTAAGATAGGGGCATTTTCTTTGGAATTAATGTACCATTATTTAAAATAGCAATATTTGTTTTTTGAACCAAATTAGGAAAAAAATGAACATTTTTTCATTTTTTGAACAAAATTTTAAAAGCACGAGCATTTTTGGAAAATAGAAAAGAACCTGAAACGGAAGAAATAAAAAATAAACAAAATACATATAGAGCAAAGAAAAGGATGTAGGTTTTTTGGAAAAAAATGATAATCTAAAAAAATATTCATGAATTTGAAAATAGTTCCTCGATATGAAAAAAGTTCACGGGTTTTGGAAAAAGATTCCAAACAAACTGAAAAATTTTATGGATTTGAAAAAGTTCACTAGAATGTGGCAAAAAACTGAAAAAAATTCATGGATTTCGAAAAAAAAATCGTGAGATTTGAAGTTCACGAAGTTGAAAAATATTCAAAAATTGGAGAAAAGCTCTTGCATTTGGAAAAAATCTCTAATTTTCAGAACATTCATGCATTTGAAAGTATCTGAAAAAGGAAAAAGGAAAAAGAAATAGAAAAAAGAAAATAAAAGAATGTACCAAAGAAAAAACGGCCAAAACAACCAAACAGATAAGAAAAATCAGTGTCTTTCCTTTTAACATTGTATTTGACGCACTACTAAAGATGGAAAAAGAGGAATTTAGACATAGGAGGTGAAGCATCCCAGGTGGTTAATATGTCTGGTTATGAATCGTGAGGTTCTGAGTTCGAGTCTGACGTAACACTGCGTGTGACGGGCAGGCAGGTTGGCTGTGTACAACTACGTACAACTCGTATGTACGACATACAAAGATGGATATACCTTATGGTCAAATGACCATAGTGCCCTTATACGATCTGTGAGGGGAGTGTTCTGAAGCAAGGCTCCTAAGTTATATGCTCCGGTGCAGAACCACAGACAAATTAATAATCCCACTATGACTAGCCTGAGTATTAGTTCAACAATAAAGTAATTGAATATTACCTAGCCTATCAAAGAGACCTACCAATATTACTCGGTCGGTATCCTCAAAAAAAAATATTACTCGGTCGGCTGATTTAGCATAAAAATATTGCACTACCAGCCTCTGCTGAATACAAGAAGTTTGTTACTCCCGCAATCCGTATTAATTGATGGGACCTCTATACAATGTAAGTAAGATTACATAGAGGTTGTGATAATTAATTCGAGTCAGAGGGAGTATACCTTCTTATCTGGTTCCACTGTTAGAACAATTCATTCACGTAGGTGTGACATATACCATTAGCAGCGTTTCAGTTTTCGCAAAACTGCTCTTCCTCACCTTCACAAGATTACGTACAACTACTAAAGCTTGTATGCAAGAAGGGCGGGAAACTAAAGATTGATATTTTTTATTCTGTCCTTCATAGTTGTCCATCAGAGTCAGAGTTGCGTTGTCTGGTCGCAGGTGATTGATTTTTGGCGTCGCGCTTCATATACTTCCACATGGCCCCTACAGTGTGGGCTGAGTCGGCGATCGTCTATGGAGAAATCGGTCTCGTTTGCTCAAGGTTTAGGGATGGCGATGATGCCTTATAGGGGAAGAGTTATGATGATGATGCCAATGCGTTGTCTTACTGAGGCCCTC